CCATGTTTTAACCTGTCTACAATAACTCCAGCCCTTTGCTGTGGAAATAATGGAAGGAACTCGAGGGGCAGGAGTCTCCACTCCACTGGGAAACTACCTGCAAGCAAAACCAGCTCTCCAATTAATTCAAGCGTTATACAAATCACTGAGTCAGTCTGCATGTGGAGGTTTCAGAGCGTGCAGGGACAGATCTGTGAACACATGCTTGAAAGCACAGTCCTGATTTCACATGCCCTGTTGTCACTGCTTTCTACAGCTGCAGACAGATTCTCAGCATCTGACAATATTGGAGCTTCTGACTCACCTGCAGGACACACCCATAATCTCCTTTTAGGATCGCATCGGCGACCACACACTGAAATCTGCAAACAAATAAACAAATGAATAAACAAATGCTGGAAGTAACTGTACATAGAAGAATACCAAAATACCAAATATTGCATATTACGTTTAGTTTATTACATTTATTAGTCAGAGACCATGGATTAAACATTCCTCTCACACAAGAAGAAGAGATGTATGCCCCAGATTCATATATCAGCTAATTTCCATCTGCAGTTTCTGTAAGCAAGTAAGCAACACTGCACAGCAGAAGTCCTGATATATAACAAATGAACACCAAAACTGAGAGCAAAATGTAATTAGACATAAAGCTACAAGTGCAATATCACTAAACTGTATGTTTTAGGCTGTGAACAGCAATTAATATAAAGTGTGTTAATCCTTTTCATGTGTCTGGATGAGGTCATGTGTCTCTTTGTAGAGTCATTTTCAGGAACACACACCTCAGTCAGTGAGGTCATGCCAAGACAGGTATTTTTTCACAGACACACCCAAAATCATTTCTTGACCTTCTGAAGCCTAAAAAATTATCACTAAGTTATATTAAAGGCAAATTACAACATTTTTTTAACCTTGTCATCCCTTTTGCCCACACTTCTTGTGTCTAAGTGACTAAATTGGTCCAGTGTTGAGAGACATGGTTGCAGCCGGCAGTGACGAAACAGGCTGCAATGTAACCACTCAGAGCAATTATGCACCATTAACTCACGTCCAATTAAAGGCTTTGTTTTTGTCACTGACAGGCAAAATAAAACGCTCAAAGACTGTCTTGATTCATATTACCACTGTTCCAACAATCATCAGCTTAGATTTGGTTGAAATAAACCCCTCAGTTCACCCAGTAAGATGTGAAAATATGCTGGCTGTCATACAATTACAATAACAATGTGAGCCTGTCAGTGACGAAAACAAATGCTTTTAGTAAACATGCATTGACAGTGCGAACATGCCTCAAGTGGTTACATTGCAGTCTGTTTCATCTCACTATGTTTCAAAAACTGTTGTTCCCAGTAGTCACATAGACAAAAAACATGGTGAAATAAGGTAAAGGCTGATAAATCAAAAACAAGTTACCCTTCAGGTCTTATCTGACACAATCTTCACCCAAAACCTTGGTCTGTGTGTCACACTGGGGATTTAGATCATTCATATGCGAGAAATCTTGCGTGATGATGAGATTAGATTGAATCAAAAGATAAAAGTGACATGAGAGAGTTGCACAGATATATAGCGATCAGTCACAGTATTAAAACCACTGATAAGTAAAGTGAATAATATTTTTAAGTCATTACAAAGTGGTGTTCTGATGGGAAACCTTGGGCCTTGGCATTTATGTAGATGCCATTTGACATGCACCACCCACCCAAACACAAGTGCGGACCAAGTACTGCACTAGTACTAGTACTAGTACCAAGTACTGATGGCAGTGCCCCCCCCCCCCCAACATCAGGACTGGCCTGAGGAACATGACCAAAAGCTCAAAGACTGGACCTGACCTCAAAATTTCCCAAATCCCAGTCCAATTGAGCATTAATGGTACAGGAGTAAAGTCCAATTCATGGTGGGGCCACCTTGGATCTGACTTGTCTCTGACCTTTAAGGTAATGAATATGGGGGTGTCCTATGGTGTCTGGCACCAGGGTGATAGTGGCAGATCATTTGAGTCGCGTGGGTTGTGAGGTAGGATAACAGCATATCTCTTGGATGTTTGATCGGATTGGGATCTGAGGAACTGGGAGGCCAGGTTGATGCCTTGGTCTGCAACTTTGTTTGGGTGGGTGGAGCCCGTCAGCTGGCATCCACAGGAATGCCAGGACCCAAGGTTTCATTACAGAATATTGCATTGTAATGGGATGATTAATGCAATTCACTTAACCTGACAGTTTTACTATAGTGGCTGGTGGGTGTACACAACACAGACAAAAGTATGACACCCCAACACTAAAATGTGATGTGATTCCATCAACATGGGCATCAATGTGCTGCTCCCCTGTACTCTCCTGGTTTCAGTCTTCCCAGTACATGTGCAACCTGCTGCAGAGATTTGCTCCCATTCAGACACAAAAGCATCAGTGAGGTGATCAGGTGTGCCTCACTGTCTGTGTTCCAGTTCATCTCAAAAGGTCTTGGATAGGATTGAGATGTTATTGAGTTATGAGGATTGAGTTATTCTACAGCAAACTGGGAAAAACATTTCTTTCTGAAGTTGGCTTTGTGCACTTCAACATTATCATGTTAAAAAAGGAAGGAGACAAACGCAAAACTGCTGACACAAAGATGGAAGAACACTCCAGTGTAAAACATAATTGTATGCTGTAGCATCAAGGCTTACCTTGATTAAACTTAAGGAGTCTAGAACAAACCAGTAAAAACAGACCCCGACTAAAATTACATCAAAGGATAATAACAGGGGTGTCCATATACTTTTGGCACTGTCAGATTTAGACAGTGTTTTTGTGGTGCCATCCTGTGGCACAAATGAGAACTGCAGGAGGGAGGAATTTGGGATAATGGAGGTTTTCTGAGGACAAACCTGTTTTCATTTGCATCAGTGACATGTTTTTCATTTCAGTGACAACGTGATAAAAAACGAGATCTTTGCAAAGAGTGACAGAGACAACAGACAGAAATATACTCAGTGATTATAGAAGACGGAAGGAAGGGTGATGGCAGTTAGAGGTGTTATGAAGATGCAGACAGATCAGACAGATCAAATGTGTTTAATTTACAGAAATATTCCTTTGGGGACTTTTATCTTGTTCTGGGTTCAAAGCATTTGCAGTTGCACTTTTGCACAGAGATACTGAATATGTAAAAGATGATTTTTATTATGTGTGTTTCTGTGCTTCAGCAGAACACTCACATCCAGTTTATTTGTTGTGCAGTGGTTTGAGCTGATGCCTTACAATAAGGACACTGCTTATTCTGCAGAAAATATCAAAATAAATGGAATAAAAATGTCATTACTGTTGAGTGTTAATGTATTTTTAGGTTTGTTTGTGCTGTCCCTTATTTCTGTATTTCTTTCTTTTTGGATGAATGGTCATATTATTTTTTTCTTTTGTGTGTGTGTGTGTGTGTGTGTGTGTGTGTGTGTGTGTGTGTGTTTGAGTTTTTTCTTATCCACTGTAAGGGTCCAAGGACAGAGGGATGTCAGATATTGTAATTATAATTTGTGCTGTGATTTGTGTTATTGGGCTCTATAAATAAAAATGAATAAATCTGAATTGAATTGAATTGAATATGCATGGTGTTCTCTTGATCTTGAAATTATTGTAATTTATTATTACTATTTATTATTTCAGATTACAGTTAATTCTGAAAAAAATGCTAAAATTATACAACATAAATCACTTTTAAAAAGAAAACTTTACTGTTGTCTTAATTTACTGAGTAAGATGTTTATTGTTTTACCTTTATTTTATCTTATTATTTTATTTAGTTTTTTTTTTCATGAGTCTTTTTTTTTTTTTTTTGCTTTTTTGAGGGGCATTTCTGCTTTATTTCACAGAGATAGGCAGGAAATATGTGGGAGAGAGGGGATCACATGCAACAATGGACCCAAGCTGGATTGAGCCTACAGTGTTGTGGTAAAGACTTGGCCTTAATGGTGTGCCCTCCGTCAGGCCTGTGACCAACCCCAGCAGGGCCAAACCAAAGATCTCACCAAACCATCCATTCAGTAGTAGTGACAGGTGTTGCGTACAAAGGGCAGCTACCAGGGTGTCCCAGTCTTCAGAGTCTCAAATATATAGTTCAACATTTGTTTACAAATTAATTTCTATCCAAAATATCACAGGGCTGACTAACCTAAGAATTGGCCTGAGAGTCATCACATTTAAATATACTGAGTCTAAAAATACTGCAGACAGCCTAAAATTGTGCTCTAGATTATGCTGTTGAAATAGAAAATTCTGAAAGACACAAAGTGCAGATGTTAGAGTTACATGCACAGTTACAAGTTTTAGTCACACGGTTCGCAAGGTGCGAGTGCACAAGATATTTTGTACCTACATTTAGCCAAAGTCCTGATTAACACTTTCAGATGACGTAAGTATTAACAGTGGTCAAAGAAGTACTCAGATCTCCTACCTAAGTAAAAGTAGCATTATCACATGTAGAAATGCTCTGTTGCAAGTATGTGTTCATATTTTTGTTTCAGAAAAAGAACAGTATTGGCATAAAAAATGTACAAAAAGTACCAAAAAATAACTGTACTCATTATTTTAGAATAATGTATATTATTGGATTATAATCACTGATGCATTAATGTGTTTTCATCACTTTGATGTTGCTGCTGGTAAAGGAGGAGCTAACTTTAATTAATTTATATACTGCTGGGTAGCTTATGAATTTTCAATTTTTATGAAAGTCTTATCCTCACATATAATATTACATCAAAATATTTTTGTTGATTTAGATGTTGAATATTAATCTGAATCTGCAAAGGAACAAGTAACTGAAGGTATCAAATAATGTAGGCGTAAAGAGTATAATATTTGCCTCTGAATTATAGTGGAGTAGAAGTGTCAAGTAACAGAAAATGGAAAAATATATAAGTACCTCAAAACTGTAGTTCAGTACAGTACTTGAGTAAAAATACATTTCTTCACTACATTTTAAGTGACAAATTAAAGTTAAAGCCATGAAGCCCATAATGAAGACCAGATCATTTTTTAATGACTCATTATCACATCATTTATTTTATTCCATCATTTCACAAAAAGCGACACATGAATAACGTGGTACTGCAGATCTTAAGGGGTCGCCACAAGAAAACAACAGTCTGTGCAAATAGTGCATTTTCATAGAGAGACAGTGATTTAAAGCCAGACAGAGAAAAGACAGGACAGGTTAGTGTTTCTCAACCTCGACAGGTCAGGTGTGAGGAAAATGAGCCAACTGCTGAAGATTTCAAGCTGCATTTAAACCTGGTATGAATTCATGTGCACTGTATGTCTGTGGTCCCAATCAATAACAATACCTACATTCACATTTGTGGTTTAAATGCCATTTTTGTGGATACACAGAAAATATTTCCATCCAAGTCAACATCTTTGCTGATGATGTTACCCTATTTCTGAAGGGTGAAATCAGTTTTTATAGTCTTTACACTTTCCGTTTTAGATGTAAGCATCCCGGTATTGCACAGACCACCAAAAGTAAAACATCTGCTTTGCCTTTCAGATTACTTGGCTTAATTAGGGGGGTAGCTAAAAGTATTCCTGATATTTCAAAATCTGAATTCATCACAAAGACTAGAAGCATGCATCGGAGCAGGAGGTAGAAACACAGGGAGGTAGAGAGGAAGATTAAAAAGAAGAGCACATTTAAGGTCCCATTTTCCATAAATATTATCTGTGGAGAAGCTTCAGGTTGTTGACAGGCACGCTGTTTAGCATCAATATTGTCCATGGCTTTAAAGGCAACCATACAGCTTGCAGGGTTCATGCTTTTTGTCTGTAATGTTTAACGGCAACATGCTGTTGTCATGCTGTCAGCTGCACGAATCATTTCATGTTTTACAGCACAAAACACTATCATGCAGATCACTAACAGACCAACGATGAAGACACTGAGGAATATTGATGCTGCGTTCCAGAAATGTCGGAAAATTGGAAACCTAAAGACGACTGCATTTGAATTTCAAGAAGGGAGTACAGCCACAAGGTTTCCAAAAGAGATTCCAATGCACACCATTGTTTCTAACTTAATGAATTGTTTTTTAAACTTAATTATTTTAAAAAAACTTTAGAACTGCACTACTCAAGATCTTAAACATGCAACAACAGATTATTTTGGCCACTTGGGGGCAGCAGAACAAAGGTGCTAAAGGTGAAATAGCATTTGCACATACAGCTGCCGAAACTTTACCTAACAAATTCTTATCACCTGTTTATATAAAATTTGTCTGCTGCTGAAAATAATACCTGCAAAATGACCATCTGAATTTTAATTACTCACTGCATGTTATGCCCCCCAACTTTTTTTTTTTCTCACATACCTCCACGAAGAACGAACAATCCAAAACTGCTAAAACATTATGTTTAAAACACACCAGTACAGTCTAATGCACAGCCAAGTAGCATGCTCACGGCACGTTACTCATAGGCCTAAGTGTTTTATTTTGTAACATTTTAGCTAAAATGCATTGGTTGGGAAGCCTTGGATTTGGAGTTGTGTGAGAATTTGTAAATTGATGTTTTGATAAAGGTTTGCTGTTGTTAAATGCAGAATTACACCGGAATTCAGGGTACCACATGGTGAATAATTGATATTCAAATGGTCATTTTGTAGGTGAAGTATTCTAGTAAGAATTCTTACATCCTGACACTGAATGAAACGCAGCATTGTAATAAGTTTATCATGCATGAATCTGTGGGTTATGTAAAAAAGAATAACACTACTACACTACAAGTGTCACTTAGTCCTTCAGTCAATGCACAGCAGTTCAGCTGAACATGCAAAGAGGAAATTTGTCTACAGGAAAAAAAAAAAAAATAGAGAATCAAGTTTCCAATTATAAATGATCCCATTTTCTCTATAATGTAATTAGTACCAAATCACAGAAGTCTTTCCAGAAAACTTTGCTATTAGGAAATTACAGTCCAGTAACATAAAGCATAACCAAAGGAACTACAAAGACCAGATCAGAGCATAAAAAACAGTCACTTAAGGCTTAATGTAGAATCCACAGTATGAGGAATGTAAATGAATGTATGTACAGGCTACAGTCTGTCATTTTTGGCACTTGTGATTTCCTGTTTGACATAAATATTAAATGCAAGGCAATATGAGACAAAATGGCTGTAGAGGTGTGACAGCGCCACGCAGCTCTTCATCCTCTTTTCTGCACCACCGTCTTCTTCATTAAAAAGTCTCTTATTTTAGTGCCCTTTCATACTCTCAACACAGAAGAGTCAGAGCTGCGTTCGCTGGCCCTGGACATTGCATAGTGTTAGAGAATGAAGCCGTTTTTTTTAGGAGATTACAGAGTAATAGCTTGGTGGTGGTGAGGGGGCAGGAAGAGGCGTGTCAGGCCTCAGAGTCGATCACTTCTATTTTTTCCGTTTCTTCTTCTTCTTCTTCTTCTATATTCTGTAAACATGAGGCCTGGATTGTCAGGCACTGCAGAGTGCAGCGCTCTGTCTGCTGGTCCACTTCTCTCCATGTTTGCATGTACATGTGTGTGTCTGTATGTGTTGCATATCAACTCTTAGAGTCTCCTTGTTTTTCTGATGATGTTGTGTCTGTGTGCTAAGTGTGATGTTATTTGTGTGCATTTAGTTGCACTGCTGGTACAGAGGCTTTGTTCACAACCACAGCTGATGCCATTTTGGGGGTCATTTTGGCTGCAAATGCTGTAAATTCAGGCAGTGAACACAACAGTGAACAGTCTCTTATTCTCCTCTCCTAAATAATGGGAACATTTTAATCTCTGGGTGCAGTTTTACAGTGGGGGGCTGCAAGCCAGAGTCGAGCCTCGGCCACTGCAGCACCTCTATGCGTGGGGTGCGTGCTCTAAACCACTAAGCCACCGATGCCCCATCTTATACATTTCTTAAAACTTGAGTTTTATTTTTGAATCTCCACGATGCATGTGGACACAAAAAAAAGAGGTCTGAGTAAGTAAACATGAGCAGCCAGATGATCAGACAAACTATAGACGAAACCAGATTATCCAGTTTATCTGAAACCACTATTTGAGCAGTCAAACTGAGAGCGAGCACACCTCAAGTATTGATAATAATCTGCCAGCCCTCAGGAAAACTACACACAACTACAGATGAAAGTCTGTCTATAAACAGTGCTGGATGTTAAAAACAGACAGTCTGGGTGATCATTTTACCTGGCACCTTTGTTTTCTCCTCAAAGTACGTTTAAATAACCTGGAGGTTTGTTTACAATCTGTTTACTCCTGTTTGTTGCCCTGTTAAAATATGCTGCCCCCATCCCTTCAGTACAATGTTATCTAAGTGAAAGAACCAAAAAATGTAGTTTTCCTTTAACAATCCAGTACATCAGGTGTTTTCAGGCATTTCTGTTCTGTGGATAATTTTCATATTACAATCGGAATAAAAGTAAGGCTCTAAGCAGGTCAGACATTTGCATATTATAGCCATATGTTGGGATTTTATCCAGCCCAGTCGCTGGAAGAAAATGTTGGCATTGAACTTTTCTGCAAACCACGAATAATATATTTGCACATTTCATACATATCATGTTAATATTTCTAAAGTAACGTAGTGTATGAACTGACTTTGTTATCATGAGATGGAAGGGACGGTGAATGGTGTGACACCTAGGCGAGACGCCTGCCAAGCTGCAGACCACTGTTCTAGACCAACAAACAACAACATTACTTATGTTTTAGTGAGTCATTTTTGTGTTTCCAGCAGCTTTCTAGCCACCGAACTCATGTGTTTTGTAGCGATCTGTTGCTGTGTTTCCAGCAGCAGTAGTGCCACAAAAAGTGGATGTTTTTACCAAGACATCGCTGTGTTTCCAACCAGGATAGTGCCACGTAAACAAGGTATTTTAAGCCAAAACATGATTTTTTTTTTCTTTTACTAACTATAGCCAAGTGGTTTTGTGCCTTTACCCAACCACACGTTAACCACAGAGACATTGGAAAGTAGAGTTTCAGCCTATCCACTACATAATAATGCACACATGTAATGTATCCGTGGTTTGCAGGAAGATATGTTGCCAACATTTTTCTCACGTCTTTTAAACTCTCAAAGTTTTTGTTTTTATAGATCAAACCAGTATAATGTTGTGGGCGAGACAGACTGATGCGGAAAGATGCAGCACAGAGAGACTACACCGAGTTCAAGGTTTTAACTGCACAAACACCCTAATAAGATTATTATAACTCAGCATTTTTTTTCAAAATCACATTGTTTCCTCGCATGTTCAATAACAGTCCACAGACCAGGGGTTGGGAACCACTGTCGCACAAAGCAAGAGAAAACCAATTGCCTAGGCGGCTCGCAAACCTGTGACTACAAGCCACAAGAAAGTTATTATTAGTTACTGTTGTTAGTTATTTTTGTAACTGTAAAAAAACACTAAAACAGCCATGATTTTAAAAAGGCTGCTCAGCTGTGTTCAGCCACTATGACCTCCAATCTGGCACCAGAGTCAGCCTTGTGAGCCTTCCATATGCTGTGTGTGAACACATGAATGCACAGGTAAGTCCCTCTGTCTCAGGTCCAGACCTCCATGGGCACCATGGCCTCCTTGGAGCCGATGGGAGGAAGCAGGTTCTGCTCGCACAGGAACTGAAGAGGAAACTGGACCAGAAAGCCACGGATCTTCTTCAGCTCCTCGTGAGCCCGAGCTGGGTCCTCCTTGTCCAGGCCTGATTTGGCCAGGTAGCCCTCAAGCTCCAGGATATTACGGACGTCACTGGACGGCAGACAACGGAAAACCTAAAGGAAAGAGGGCAGATGAGTCAGAAAGAGAACTGGGATTTGGTATCAAGAATTGGTCCCGATTCTGTTGACAAATTCCTGATGACACATTTTTAGTGACAAATTTTCCATTTATGTCACTATTGTGCATGTGTCATTGAACATGTTATTTTGTTGTTGTTGTTGTTGTTGTTATTATTATTATTATTAATTATTATCATCATCATTATTATTATTATTATTATTATTATCATAGTCATAGGTGTAGATTTTGAGGTGGACATAGGGGACATGTCCCCCTCAATATTAAGAATATTTGCATTTGTCTCCTCCCAATAAAAAGAAGAGGGTGAATTTTATTTTGACAAAATTTAAAGTGATAGTTCAGGTTTTTGGACATGAAGTTGTGAAATGCTGACCATCTGTAGCTCTGATGTGACGGTGTCACTACTCTCAACGAGCCTCCTGCTCTGAGAAATCGCCCATAGCTTACCGGAGAAAAAGTAGTTCTGAAGATGTATGGGGGACACGTAACCAAAAGGTTTTAAGCTACAAAAAAGTATGCATGTGTTTTGTTAGACTATTTCAATAATTTTAAAGCATCCCTGCATTACGTCAGACCTTGCTATCAATTGGGACTATTTTCTGGCCAGTATCACTCCGCCGTGCAGGCCCGCAAGACAGCACGGCAACAGAAATCAATAAGACAGTTCATCACCACGCCGTGCAAGTGCGCAGGATAGCAACGGCTAACGAAAACTTCATCGGCTGTTTCCAATAGAGAACCAGTAGGCTATTATTAGTGAGGAAAATGCTAGAAAGGAGTCTTGTCTAGTCTCTGTAGAACCAGACTTGAAAGGACCCATCCTACCAAGGAAGCATCCTTGACTTTGAGAAGCACCACCTGGCTGTTGCTTGAACTACAAGCTGTATTTCCGTATTTTTGCATTGCCCATCACCCATGCTGCCACCAAAGACACAAACAGCATAGACGGCTCAAGAGACAAACCCACCTCTCTCTCTCTCTCTCTCTCTCTCTCTCTCTCTCTCTCTCTCTCTCTCAGACTGAAATCTGTTGTAAAATCAGGCAGTGCTGATCAAGCATAAATCAAGATTCTGTTACTGTATTGCCTATTTCTCGCCTAAAATGTTTTTTGAAACATGTTTTAGTGTCCTGTTTAGCTGTAATAGCGAGAGTTTGTAAACAGGAAGTGGCCGCCAAACTGTTTCCTGCACAGAGAAAACGGAGGCTGAAAAAACTGAGAGCAAACGGTAAAATTAGGCAGCACTGATCAAATATAAACCAAGATTCTGTTACTGCGTTATTTCTCACCCCAAATGTTTTCAGAAACATGTTTTAGCTTATTATTTAACTGAAATATGAGATAGTTTGCTACCAGCTGGCAGCCATTGTGTCAAATGGATGAGCTTGCATTTATTATTGCGTTTATTGGTCTGGTGCAGCACAATGCACTCTGGTAGTTGTAGGTTTTTTACTGTTTGTAAAGACCATCTTTACAGTGATGAAATACTTCTTGAAGTGTTTGATGCTCAAATCCTCCCCATTTCATATGTGCATCCTCCCAGTATTGAAACAAAACCTTTGTCCATGACCATTGCTATGAAGTTAATAAAAGCATGATGTAAATCTTGAAATCCAGCCATGATAACAGAAGCACAGTGTAGCAGATGTAATATCAGACTGACCTTCTGGTAAATGGTGGCGTTGCGAGCACACGTCGCCATCCAGACCTCCTTGTAGAAGTGGTCACTGACAGGATCTGACACGTCAATGGAGGGGTCTGTGTGAGCACCCAAAATCGTCCTGAGAGAGAGGGACAGAGAAGAGGAGGAGGAGAAGGGAGAGAGACATGAAGAAACACTAACAGCACCAGAAAGGGAAACGATGAAACCTTCCAGGAAACTGCGAGCTATATATTTGGCAACAAGAAGCAGACATGATGCGATGATGAAATTTACACAGAATAAAGAAGTACAATTAACTCATCTTTCTTACCAACTACAAGACAAAGGAGGTGTCTTTAAAATGCTTACAGTGGTAAAACTAAAACCAAAAGTGAAGCAATCAGTTTGAGTGGAGAGACTTTTCATGCCATTACTCATCTCATGACCCCTCAGATTTATCTTCAACCCAATGGAGGGGTCCTAACCCACAGTTTGGAAACCACTGAATTTTAAATCTTGATTTAGAAGCTACTGATTTAAATGCCTTTTTTTAAACTAAAGATAAATATCTATCAACAAAAATAAAAGGCATGCTTACTAAAAATAATATATGCAAAAGAAGCATCAATCTTCTCTTATTTCATGTTTGAAGTCATTAAACTATTGTTCACACAAATTGTATGTGAAAAGAGAGGCACAGGATAAATACAGAAATTAATAAAGTAAACCAGGATTCAGGATGTGTCAGTACTTGAAGCATTCGAGGCGGAGCTGCAGAGCGTATTTTCCGGCTTGATAAGGCTGCCCGTCCATCACTGCCGTCACTGTCTCTGAGTCCTCCACGATCACCGCCACCTCGCTGTCCCTCTTTCCCAGCATGCTCCTGTCGTTGATGTTGGCAGAACCTGCAGCAACACAAAGGAACAAGTGATGTCACAGAAATCACCAGCAGATGGTGTTGCAACACCTCATAACAGACTTCATGTTGAAGTTCATACAAAACTCAAAAACATCTTTATACATGAGTATGAGTGGAAAAATACAGGAACAGAGATATTTTAAAAATAAACATGTTTTCCTCATAAGTAAAATATACTGTCCATAATGAGTCATTGTAAGAGAACTGTTAAACTTTTAAAACATGAACTTATTGCTCCAAAACAGGCCTCCACTTTCAAATTAAAGGCATGAAAGTTAATGATTTTGTTTATATTTCACAGAAATGTTTATCTTAGTATCACTGGACAGAATTAAGGAAACACCTTATCTGGCTCATTTTTCCTCGAGCAAAAAAGGACACTGGCTACATCTGAAGTTCTACACTAACATGCCGTTTAGTACGTTAAAAAGGTATGTGAGATATTTTAGCATGTCCGAAAGCTTATTATGAAACCAACAGTATGCAAATTGCACAATTTCCAAGACGTCTCTGTGTAAACCATTCTCACTCCCCACTTGTCAAATACAGACACTCGGTCAGTGGCCCTACATGTCAAAATATGACATGCCAGGTTCTCTCCAGCATCAATTTTGGATTTTTAGGGATGGCATGTCCATTTGGGCTCATTGGCTACACTGTATCTTTTCAAAATAAAATTCTGTTTTTAGGAAATGTATAGTTTCTGCTTGTTAAATGCATAGCCTTTATATTTTAAATAAACTTAGAATGTGGGTAAAATACCTTTGAGTTTACTTCCTGAGGTTTAGGCAACAAAACTACATGGTTAGGCTTAGAAAAAAACACCATGGTCTCACTTGAAATAGCTACATTTATGTCATGTAACACTATGTGACATCACGTAGGTCACTAGCAAGGCAGGCTACACAAACTAGCACATTATGTTGTTATTAACATAACTTGATTTACTTTCAGTGTCACACGGGACACGAACAGCTGGCTCCCAGGTGAGAGTCCTGAGTTTGTTTGACCTGTCCTGTGTGGACTTTCTTGCTCTTTATTCTACAGCAGTTGCCCACTGCCTCAAAACATGCTGCCACCCAGTGCAAAAGGGTGCCTTAGTGCATCAGTGTCAGACACCAAGGGCCACTAAAATTAGTTTTTTAATTTTTCTCAAATTGCCGGTAGACATGAAGCTGGGACAATTTACCATGGTTATGTGTCTCCAACGGAAAAGAGTTTGTGGTTTTAACAACTGAATGCATCCCAAAAAGATAAATACCACTGTATATTTACACCAAAGTATGTTGGAGCAATAGGGGACATATTGGGCATAATATAGTGCATGGTATGCAATTCCAGCTGCAGTGTCTGTCATTTGAATACGAAAAGTTCTAAAACTGATGACTGGTTTTTTTTTTGTTTGGTTGTTTTTTTTTTAAATCCTGCCAAACTCTCAAATGGACCTCAAGGAAAATCTTAGAAAAAAAATATATAAATTCCTTAAAATTATTTTACTTTAATCTTAAGGATTTTTCTTGTTACAGTGACAGTTTTACCTCTGTAGGCCTGTAAAAATAACTCAAATCAACTAAACAGAAAAAAATGGCTCAATGAAATGTAACAAGTTGCTTCAGTGGTCACAAGTAAAAAAAGGCTGGGTAATGCAGCTTTATCTGGAGCCTCCACTCAGTTCACCACAGACAACACCTTGAAAGGTTCAGTGCAAGTACAAAAACACATTTAGAAAAACGGAACCAGCGTGTGGTTGCTTTCATCTGCAGCTCTTCACTTTCCTGTTAGAATATACGGTTTATTTTTAGGATGAGTGGCTGCAGTGGAAACTGAAACCTCACCACAACCCACCACATGACTGATTTGTAACATTTTCAGACTTAAAGTCAGAAGTCATTTTTCCTCTGTGACTTCTCTGATATAAATGATACAGCTGTCTCTCTGCAGCTCCTGTTTCCTTCTCCTCTATTATACATGTTCAGTCCAGTGTCGGGGGAATATTTCATTACATCTGTCATCTTGTAATCTTGTAATGGAGAAATTCAAGCTGCTATACCAACATCAGCTAAACGTCTGGCGTGAGGAAAGTGAAGTCAGTGAAGTGGGCACAAAAAAAGGGTGAAGAACTCAATTTACCGATTATAACAGTGTTGTCGTCAGCAATGAGCATCTTGCTGTGGACGTAGATGAGCTCGGTGACCAGCTTCCCCTCCAGCTCAGCATGAGTCCTCAAACCAGTGATGGAGATGTAGTTCATCCACTGGTCTCCCACTGGAAAGCAGAAACAACCAATTAGGGTCAGAGTTATATATGGGAAGAGATCTGTGTCAGCAGAGATTGTAAGTTTCCAGTTCATTTAACCTCTTAACAGCTGCCTTTTTTGCCTATTGGGCATACCCAAATAAAAAAGCTAATGACCAAAGAACTATAAGGTCAAAATTAATACACAAGGCTTCATTTGAGGGTAACATCTTCTAGTTTATAAAACTGTCCTTATTTGGCATGTGATTAAAAGACAACCTAAACTACATCAGTTCAAACATGGCTCAGAGGAGGTTTCCCTGTTCCTCATCTAAAATAAGTCATATCTGAATGACAGTAACTGGGACATGCTCACCAAATTCAGTACATGCTTACTGACAGTTGAGATTTTTTATTGTAAGAAATCTGAATCTTTTGAGTCTTTGCACATTGATATTCACAACATATGAAAATGAACCTGAAGGTATGAAATTAAACTAACAACATGCTATGCTTGAAAGAAACAGCGTGTAGGATTTAGTGGCATCTAGTGGTGAGGATTGCAGATTGTAACCAGCTGAAACTTCTCCATCGTGTCAAATGTGAACTGGTTTGATTTCCTTCAGTGTCTTTTGTTCTGGAAGTTTTTACCATATGCCAAATTATCTGCAGAAGTCTCCTCCTCTCTAAAATGTACAGATCAGGGGCCTTATTTATTCATTTCATTTATTTATCCACCTCCAATGAGGAAATGTAGATAAGCCAAAAAACATTCTGAGTGACAAAACTGTGCATAAGCCTGCCAGTACGCAATTTTCTTTTATAAATCCCAAATCAACTTGGAATTGTCCACACGTGGACCAGCCTCACATCCCACCCTCTACACACCCACATTCAACCATAAATTAATGCTGATGCGTAGACATGAGCTGGCTGATCAGTGGTTCCTTACGATGAATCATGGCAATGACTAAGAGGAAAACCAAGAAAATGCATATTCCTGATGCAGAAATCAAGGTGCTTGTGGGTGAGCTGGAGGTTAGAAAGCACACAGCCTATTGTTAGGTGGGAAGTGGGGTCACAAGCTAAAGAAAAGGGAGCGAGTGGGAACTGTTGGCGCAGTGTACTGCAGTTATTTAATGCTGTTTGATGTTATCTTGGGTTTCTACAACTGACAGCGTTAATTATATTAGTCAACCTGGTTACGTGGGTGAGGTGAAAATGACTCGGGTAAAGGAAAGCCAAACATTCCTGGATTATGTCACCCGTCACAGCCTGGCATCATTTAGCTGTGCATGGTGCTCTCCACAGCTGACCACAAGTGTCAGCAGCACACAATCCAGCTCTGACCCTCTCCAAACACAAATAACACTGTTGCATTTGAATGTTTATGAAGTGAATCTATAAGAAACGTGTGATATGACGTGAATTTAAATATGTGAGAGATCATTATAAGTACAATGATTCCTCTCGTATCAAATTTCCACAATCTGGCTTCGATTCACCACCTCCACATCTGTGTGGCCAATTTCTCCTGTCTCAAAAATGTGCGTACGCATGGATCAGAGTTTCCTTAAATTTCAGTACATTTCCTTGTCAAGTTTTTCTTTAAAAATCCCTATTTAAGCTTAGAAAGTGGCGTACGCACATTTCAAACCCTTTTTTGTGCGTACGCAATGGTTATAAATCAGGCCCCAGGTGATTTAAACCACTAAGCAGCTTCACGATGCAAATCAGTGTTTCTCCGACACTGTTTGGCATGTCAGAGACAGGCAACTAGCCCAGCACCTGCTAACCTGTGCTTACCTTTTTTCAGTGATAACTTAAGATCCAGATATTTAGGAGGTTTTTATCAGGGGGTTGAATTATCCACAGAGGTCTCTTCCTCTCTAAAACAAACAGCCCCGCTAAAAACACTGAAAAAAGCAGTTTCTAACTATGGTAGCCGAAGTGAAAACTTGAATGTCCCTAACTAAAGCCAGTGTTAAGTTAGTCCATTCTGGGCAACTCTAGAAACATGGCGATGCAACATGGCAATCTGACACTGTCACTGACAGTGCAGTGCTATATTGAACCTCTGAATAAAGTCTTTTTTTCTACCAAAAATATTTTGCGCTGGTCAGGGGGTAGGCTACTCAGCTGAAAAAATATTTCAAAGGGGCTACATTATTGAAAAAAGTTTGAGAACCACAGCTTTAAAAGATTTGGCACTAACGTAAAGTATATGAGATTTGACATTGATAAAGTAAACCATCAGTGAGATTAAAGGCACCACTTATCTAAAAATACATAAAAGCAGAATGCAGATGTGTGCAGTTTTTTGGTTTCTGGCTCTTATGCGTGTTATTGCATATGCATGTGGTTTTGCGTGTATGTATTTGGACCAAAATTGGGGTTCAGCTGTGTTTTTTTCTCATGAGCTTTAATGACAGACTAAATCAAATGTTACTTCAGTGATTCCTATATTACAGGTTACACGTATATGCCCTGTTTGTGCCCTCCAGCTGTAGGCTAAATATGGAAATTAAATTTATCCAACAGAGCAGCTTTACAGAGCACAAATAAGATAAGATTAAACTTACTTATTCTGAGGGAGACTGCTGTCAGGAGTTGCAGTACAAAGTGGGGAAGAGTGAAAATATACAGTCTAGATACCAATAACAATTAGGTCCAAATAAGATGCAAGTCCAAAAATATACACAATATACACAATGCCAAACTTCTATTTTACTAATTATACTTACTTAATTTTAGTGAAGTTACATTTTCAATACATGACTTTTACTTGTAACAGAGTATTTTTACTGTGTGGTATTAGTACCTTCACCACAGTAAAAGATCTTAATTCCTCCTTCACCAGTGCAGGTTACAACTGAACATACAACCCGTGCACCCATATCTTCTGTTCACTGCAACAGCGGCCAATAAGCTCGCAGTCCAACAGTGTGAACATGAGGTTAAAGCTGTCATTGCCTTTGACTTACTCTCTCTCCTGACCTGGGAGATGATGGAGTGGTCTCCTCTGTTCATGGTCCTGCAGGGAGTGGAGGGACAGAAGTGGATGAGCCACAGAGCCACATTCCTCACAATATAACAAGAATGTAAGTGTTCGTCACAGTGTTTGCATGAGTAGGGCTGACTGTTGACTCAAAGGAATGGCACGTGCACGTACACACAGACACACACACACAGACACAGACACAGACACAGACACACACACACACACACACACACACACACACACACACACACACAGCGTTAACGGCACTGTAGATAGAGAGTTAAGGTGTGGCAGTAATCTATCACTGGCTGCTTACAGGATTTAACCCTCACCAAACAAACTCACACACCAGGTGGGTTCATGACAGCTTTCCCATTACATGGACACACACACACACACACACCCACACACACACCTGTAGTTGAAGTGCATGATGGCCTGGAGGGCGCTGCCCCCTCCAGTTTTGATGTCTCCTTCAAATCCTGGCAGCAGAGGCGTCACCACGTACACTCGGTACCTTTTACCCTCCCTAAAGACATTTTAAATCAGAGAGATACAACATTATTAATGTAATAATTTATGTATGAAATATTTATTTATCAAACAGCTGACGTAAGACTCCATAACAAAAGAACACAGAGGATGGATGGAGGACAGGACACATAACAGCTCATCAGATGATGACTTTTTTTAAAGGATATTTTTATGGCTTTTGCCTTTATTGGTCAGTATTAAGTGTAAAAGGGGGAAAGAGAGGGAATGACATGCAACAAAGGACATTGCCTTCGAACACCCTCTCTGCTCACTGAGCTACTGGGTGCCCATATGCTGATGTACAGATTAGATTACTTAGATAATAAGAACAAATAAGAAGCAGCACATCATGTTCAAACAGTGTTGGGTAACAAATCTAGCAACCATATCTGGAGCATCCCTGGGCATGTTGTGAGCAAACACTGTCTAAATCTCCACCCGCCAGTTTACAAGCACATCCTCATCTTCAGGAAACAACAATTTGGGAAAAAATGTAGAGCTGAAAAGGGACTAAAGAGCCGCAACCTCCACAGCTGACTGTGAGAGGCTGAGACAACTGACAATCAAGAAAACATGCATTCAAATATATGCCTTAAAGGGACAGTTCACCCCTAAATTAAACATATATATTTTTTCCTCTTACCTGTGGTGCTATTTCTCAGTCTAAATTGTTTTGGTGTTAGTTGCAGAGTGTTGGAGATAACGGTCGGAGAGATGTTTGCCTTCTCTCCAGCATAATGGAACTAGATGGCACTCGCCTTGTGGTGCTCCAAGCGCCAAAAATTTCAGCAGCAATGCCTCTTTCCAGAAATTATGACCCGGTTACTTAACATAATCCACAGACCTTGTTGTGAACAGTTTCATGTAGGAACTATTTTTCTTTCTACCAAATTACACCTGCCAACCGGATCACTACACAGAAGGAAGTGTGCATCTACTCATGGACAAGAGGCTCGTCCTTGGGACAGTGTGAGATGTAAACATAAATGGCATCCTCTTCAGCTGAGCTATAACGTTAGCTAGCTCAGTGGTGCTAGTTGAGCTAGCAGTTAATGAGGAAAGAGGAAAAATATGTATGTTGGGGGGTAACTGTCCCTTTAGTGTAATTTTAATGAAATGGTATTTTTAGGATTGCCACTAAGACACACACCCACAGTTAACTATCACAAAAATGTAAAGACAAGCAGAGTAGGCAGAGCAGGTTTTAAACTTTTTGGTAGCAACATGTGGATTTTTGCAGAAGATATTGATACTGATATTTGAGAGTTAAAGAAAAAGTTGACAGACTATGAGAAGGGAGACAGTGGACGGGAATGTTGCAATTACATATTCAGAGTCTTAAACCCACCAGGATGCCCAATAAATCTATATTCTACACATAAACATAACAATAACAAACATTTCGATAAGTATCTCTTAAATATGCCTCTTAAAGAATACTAACCATGCAAGATTATGAGCTGAGCAGGACAGCTTACAGTCTGTGTACTCTGGTGAACAAACTTTGTGATGACAACACTGTTTCTAAATTACCTCAATCACATCTTGATCATTTTCACAGAGCAATATCTTGTTACTGATACACATGCTGATAGCAGTGTGCTATCTGTGATGAACTCCATTTGGCTGATGTAATGTATTAGTCTGGCTCTAATCTTCTCTTTAAAGACTATTTTATGAGGCAGTTTGGGAAGTTTAGGAGACGGATGCTGCCATTAATCATAATGACCTTCTAAATAACTGCACAGTTTCACACTTTTACAACCCAAGAAATCAGAAAAACACCTCACAAATTCATGCAGAGACCAAGAGTGCAGAGAAACTGCAGTGAAATAAGATGCTGCTTCATTCAAACACTCCCCAAAAGGAAGTTTGTTTCAACACTTGACAACGTTTTCTTATATCAGCTTACACTGCGACTGTGAGAAACAAGACAGATGGGACATTTATAACAGCCGTCGAGACTGTTTATACACAGAGCCTTTTACAAGTGTGTGTGTGTGTGTGTGTGTGTGTGTGTGTATGTGTGTGTCTGTGGTTACCCTCTGTTTTGTGTAGGATGTGTGTACTATGATAAGCTCTGATACCCTGACAACAAAACATCACAGAGAGAAAGAAACTGAACCTTAAATAGAAAAATATTCAAACAATCTTCACAGAGGCCAAAGTCAAACACAAAATATGGTATGAAATTAGTTCTCTGGAAGGTAAATATACTCTGTGTGTGTGTGTGTGTGTGTGTGTGTTTCTGGGAAATCATTTTAAGATAAGCCTAAGCGCACATACACAAAGACGATGTGTTTGTGTGTGTGTGTGTGTGTGTGTTTTTCTGTTTTTCTTGTAAGTCATTTTAAGGTAAGGCTAAATACACACAGCAGCGGAAGCTTACAAATTGTGCATAAAACCAATTTAATATTTGCTTGTGTGTGTGTATGTGTGTGTGTGTGTGTGTGTTACCTGTGTGCTCTGATGATGCGCTCGGCAATAGCGTCTCCGATCTTGTTGAAAACATGTCTGTTGTCTGCACAGCTGATGAAGAACTGATTCTGGAAGACAAACAAACATGAGTCTGTTGTGAGATGACGAGTAAAGTCAAATCCATAGAGCATGTTAAGTACTTGCTCACACTTCTGGACAAAATCCGGATACATCAGTGTTTTATTTATCCTTAGTCCGCATGGGATTTGCTTTGCTTTCCAGTACTGTGACAGCACGATTACATGCCATTTAAGGCGAAGCTCTTTTTTAGATAAATAGCCCAGTTTGGATTTAAGGTCTTCCAACTTAACATCCAATGTAATTCCTTCATCATCAAAGAGCGATTGTTGTGAAATGATGTCAAGAGCTTGTTCATAAGCACTGCGCTTGATGTAGCTTGTCCATTGTTTGTGGAGACAGGTTAAGCATGCAGCAAGGGCATGGGAGAGTTAGGCCAAGCTCTCAAAAATATATCAAAAGCTCATGAAGCTGAAGCCTGATGAAGCTGTAAGCCAAACGTGTTGCTTTGCTCTATTAAATCTTGATCTTCTTTCAAAGTCCTGTCTTGTGTGCAGAATGTAGCCACAACATATGTGTTTTTTTCTCTACATAGTTGCACTTTTGCCACAGTACCAGCACCTTGACTTACGCTGTGCACGGGCATTTTTCTACTCTGTGTCTGTTAGAGTTGGGTTGATTTTCAGTTTTGCTGGTCCAATGTGGTTTACGAGCTTAAACTGGTTTGATTTTATGCAAACTGACTGAACCAGCATTTGTCATTATGACATGTTCTGGCAAATTGAAAAGTAGCCTACATCAGCAGCCTGTACCGACGGCATTGTGGCGCTAAATCCAACTTTTATTTCACTAAGCAATATGACAACATGATTAACATAATATTACACATATAATGGAGCCACCAGTGTCTGACAAGCTGCGACTTGAGCACAGTCACATGAAAGAGATCAAATTTTAGTTGAGGTGGGGGAGCAGCGCATGCTGTGTTTGTTTACAACAAAGTTTATGTGTTTTTGGGGGGTCAAGAGGAGAAATGGCAGAGTTATTCTTAAAGAAAACTAAAACTGCACCAGTATGACAACATTTTGGATTTAAAGCTGATGGAAGAGGTGTCCTAACTGGCTCCAGGTGTTGTTTTGAGCTGAACCTTCATCAAACGCTCTGTTTCCATTTATTCCTGTGGCTTGCTTTGAAATGGATGAAAATGGACGAAAAATGGCTGATTCATGAAATGGAAATGAAGAATTTCACTCCAAAAACCAAAATAAGTTGTCAGCTAACTGGAGAGACATCACCATCACCAGGGAGCTGAAAGTTTTTTGGAAAACTAAATGACCATTCAAATAACAACTACTTGCTGTTGGCTACATTTTATGCTATTCCTATTAAATATCATAATATAAAACATGTTTTATGTTTTGAAAAGTAATGTTACAAACATTGGAAGATAGCAAGTAGGCTACATCACCCATCTTTTAAGTGGTTATGTCTCCAGTCTGATCTCAAGCGCACAGCTGACAGCTAACAGAAATGCATATTTAACGGATTCAAGGTGGACACAGAGCTGTTATGTGACAGTTTGACACTAGTTTTCTGTTGGGGCATGGTGGCATTATGTTCCACTCAGGAGTGGCTGCTGAGTGAAGTGGGACACCTGGTAAAATTCGGTGTACTGGTCCAATCCAGTGTTTGGCTTAATATAAAACCAGTTTAAAAATGTTCACCTTTTTGCAGTTTACAGATAATTACCTCTATGTAGATGAAGTGTTTGCTGTTCTGGATGGTGTGGATATAGGCATTATGGATGGACTCCTCATGGTATTTGATGCCAGCGGACCAGTCAGAGGCTGAGCGGAGGATCTGAGGGAAGGGAGATGAGTGAGTTTGGGAGGGAAGCCGGTAAAACAAATGTTTATACAAAAGCTTTAACATGCACTCTGCAAAGAGGAAAGTTGGATTAAGTTTCATCTTGGACTTATTGTTTACTTATTTTCTTTAACTTATTTCAGCACTGGAGAGGAGAGACAAAATGTTTTTTGTCCAAATTCCACACAACATACTAAACCCATACAGCATATAGCATATAGCATTCTTTCAGGTATAATAGTCTTACAGACAACATATAATAAATTATTGAACTTTATGGTTTTGTACCAACAGTTAATGATACAAGATGCACACAATAAATCAAGCTGCCTCTTTGGAAAACTATTGCCTATAAGGGGAAAGCAAAGTGTTTTACCAAAAGATTCAGTACTTTTAAAGGAATACTTCGCCCACACAATAATCATTTGTATAAGGATTATAACCCCATGTTAACTTGAATATATAATGAAAATTTTGTTTTTCTTGCATGCTTTTGCAGTGAACGAAAAATCCAAAAAAGGTGAACAATCTTCATGAGTTTAAGTAGCGGCTGAGTACCTTGCCTGGGGCAAGTGTGTGTTTAAACTCTGCTCTGAGTGAAGCTCATACACCCACTCCTGCTCAGGCACACTCAGGGCGCACTACTCACAGACAGAAGTGTGTTTTAAAATGCATATGTTTCCGAAGTACTGAGCACACAAATGGATAAATGAGTCTTGGATTACACTGCATGAGTTGTGTGAGACTTTGTAAACAGATGTTTGGATATAGTTTGGCTGTTGTTAAACATGGACCTGTTTACTTCAATTCATTAAGAATGTTCAACTTTTTGGATTCTTCGTTTACCGTGGAGGTGTGCGAGAAAAACAAAGCCACCTTCTTCTTGAATTTAACATAACACATGGTGAACAGTGTTTGGGAGTAACTAGTTACGTGCATTTTGTTAATAGTGATTAAATTACAAAATAAACGTAATTGTAATCAGATTGTAATCACGATTACCGAGAATAAATACATAATTACATTACAGTCATTAATCAAAATGTTGGTGATTACAAAGGAGTTACATCTGAATATATTCCTCCTGCTGAAAATGTAGAATATAACATTCATTCTGTTGCTTTGCATCTTTTTGCTGTGCAGGAACCTCTTCTTTGGTAAAGCCTGTTCCCAGACATTCTGCAGATTTATAACCCAGTTTAAAACATTTGTTAGAAAAGTAATTAAAAAAGTAATCTCCTGAAGCCTTCTCACCAGTCTGTTCTTATTTTTCCAAACGTGAGAAGCTCCATTTCCTTTGTTTTGAGTACGTTTAATTTTGTCATGTGAACATACTGCACACTAAAACCAACTTACAATGTAGTACAGAACTGAAACACAGTAAGAATAAGCTGCATGATAAAAGAAATGACTAAAAGTCAATTGTAATAAAATAAATAAAAGGCTGGGGTGGATATTGAAAATGGAAACTGGCAGAGAAGCAGTTCAATGCAGGGTGACATTAACACATGAAACTCCTTCAGTACTAACCTGTACTTTTGTGGGGATGCAGTTGGGGACTTGGTATCGCTGCTCTCCAGCTGTGGTGTGAGACTTGGGCAGCAGGTACGGGTACGACAGAGAACGGTACTTTGGCTTCACAAGCTGGTAAAGAGAACAGAGGAAGACAGAGGTCACACAAAAGACTGCAACCCACAACTGCAGATTTCTCCTACAGCAATGTGGACAGCTGCAGAGTCAGAGCCAAACAAGCTTGGCCAAAGGGTTAAATGAGTGCTAACTCATAAAGATCCTAGTTTTTCCAGACTGTGCCTAAACTTTTAACAGAGGTTGCAATTTTTATGCACCTCGCTGTGAAAATAATGACGTAAATGTACAGATTTTTTATTATCTCTCCAGTGATCTGCTGTTTCTTCCTTAAATCTAATTTCATCACTTTCTGTCCAGTAAGCGATTGTTTGAGGGCAGGAATCACCCAGTGATCAAATACTTCAAAGGATAGTTCAGACTTTTTTAAATGAGGTTGTATGGGGTACTTATCCACAGTCAGTATATTACATACAGTAGATGTCAGCTGGCATGCCCCTAGTTTGGAGAAGCAGGCAGAAGTCTAACATGGAAGCTAAGCAATCTACTAGTGTGGATGGAGATCATCAGCAAAACACATTTTAGCCAACTAATAAATCAGTATCTGTTTGAGTGTATGCTATATATAAAATATTTTGACTACTTTCCCTTTTCGTCAGACAGCCCATCATGACAGGGAAGCCGTTAACGGCTTCAGTTTCCCATCAATGCTCTTGTCATTTTAGCTCACTGAGCACAGGAGCTGCTGGTCTATCACTGCCTCGGTCAGTCAGACAGTTCATGTAATTGTGTGACTTTGGTGAATCCGACCTATCTTCTAAACACCCACAATAACACAATTTAACTACATGTAAGTGATCAAGGCAGTGGTAGACCAGCAGCTCCTGTGTTCAGCAGTGTTAAATCACTGTTTTTCTCAATGAAGTCTGGCTTTGAGGTGAGCGTTATATTGGCTTCATCTTCTCACTGGAAATCACTGTCTGACATTAAGGTACTGCAGTAAAAATATTCTGAATATAGCGTACATGTAAAGTGATATTGATTTTCTTCTGAGGATATTTTGGTCCCAAGAGTTTGCTACAGACTGAATGCTCTTGACTTTCCTGCTACTCTTTGGTACAGAGCACCAGACGTGATGTAGCAGCACAGAGGAGGAGAAACTTACACTGTAAGGCTCTGAGAAAATATTATCTTCTCTCTTCTGCTTGGAAGTGGTGAATTTACAGCTCACAGATACTTAATATGACAGTCTCTTTTTTGTTGGATATCTACAGTCAAAAACAAATGTTGTTGCACATTTCTGATCTGTCGTTACTTAAACTTAAAGTCCTGCTGAACTAGTTCAAACATTAAAACTTTGTATGGAAAAATAAAGAATCCTTGAATATTCATATTAAACGGCAGATTCTGATTCAACTGGCATAATTTTGGGATGGGTACAGCACAGGACATTTAGGTGGCTAAAAAAATGTTGCTGCTGACCCCATTCACAGCAGTACATTGCTTAGCTTTGGTGTCAGACTCCAGCCTGCTTCTCCAAACTGGGGGTACACTGACTGGCATCTACTGTATGTAATAAACTGACTATGAATAAAGGCCCCATACAACCTCACTTCAAAAGATTTGTACTTTCCCCTTCAATGTACAAAATTAATCTGCAACAGAAAGTCACAGTGACATTTATTTCTCATGAAAAATTCTAATTATTCATATTTTTATGTATTTTCTTTGGAAGAGCAGAAACAGTTTCAGAATCTTGGTGAATGACTCTTTAACAGAACAAACTTTTGAACCGGTTACTAGGACTCAGTATGCTAGAACAGCAGCATGACCTCTGACCTTGGTGAAGTTCCACCGCTGGATGAAGTGTCTGGCCACATCTCGAGCTGCTTTCCCATGAACCACAGAGGAGATGTCGTGCCAAGGCATTCTGGGAGTTGTGTGTCTGTCTATGAAATCTACAACAGCAGGAACAGGAACGTCAGACAGAAGGAATATGGAATAAATAGTTCCCCAACTTCTGTGGACTCACTGGTAATCTGTGAGTTTAATGATGTTGTTACCATCAAATGGTTTGTCCAGCTGAATCCAGTCCTTGTACACAAAGTTGCAGTAGTCTTTTCCATGCCAGAATCGTGTGTTTCCAAAGAGCTCCCCGACTCCCGTTTGTAGACTACGCACTGAGCCACTTCCTAAAACACACACATGGATATACAGTTATTTATCAATGCAATGAAAACTACAGGTACTACAACCCTTCCAAAGACCAAAGTCTTCGCTGCAGGAACGCAACAACGTAGACTAATCCAGGCTTTAGTCCTTGGGCTTTTTAAGTTCCTGCTGCAGAGGTGGGACTCAGTGATTAATTGTCTGAGTTGCTCTGGGTTGTTTGTATTTCTCTAAATTACCAGCCCAGGATGCAGTGACGGTGCCCTTGCGAAACAGTAGCAAACAGACAGTGGAAGGGGAGATGAATGCTTGTTGAATAAGCCGGCCAATTACAAGCTTACTGCTATACCCACAGTCTACCTTCAGTAAGTCACACTACACTCCAGATCATCACTGCTTTGGATACCACCTCCAAGTCTGAGGCCATGGTCCTCAGCCGGAAAAGGGTGGATTGCCCACTCCAGGTCGGGGGGGAGGTCCTGCCTCAGGTGGAGGAGTTTAAGTATCTCGGGATCTTGTTCACGAGTGAGGGTAGGATGGAGCAGGAGATTGACAGGCGGATTGGGGCGGCGTCAGCAGTGATGCAGGCGCTTATCCGGTCCATTGTGGTGAAAAGGGAGCTTAGCCAGAAAGCGAAGCTCTCGATTTACCGGTTGATCTACATTCCAACCCTCACCTATGGTCACAAGCTCTGGGTAGTGACCGAAAGGAACAAGATCGCGAGTACAAGCAGCGGAAATGAGTTTCTTCCGCAGGGTGGCTGGGCTCAGCCTTAGGGATAGGGTGAGGAGCTCGGACATCCGGGAGGGACTCGGAGTAGAGCCGCTGCTCCTCCACATCGAGAGGAGCCAGTTGAGGTGGTTCAGGCATCTGGTAAGGATGCCTCCCAGAAACCTCCCTTGGGAGGTATTTCGGACATGTCCAACCGGGAGGAGACCTCGGGGCCGCCCCAGGACACGCTGGAGGGATGACATCGCCCGGCTGGCCTGGGAACACCTCGGGGTTCCCTCGGAAGAGCTGACGAAAGTGGCTGGGGAGAGAACTGTCTGGGCTTTTTTGCTGAGGCTGCTGCCCCCGCGACCCGGACCCGGATAAGCGGAAGATGACGAGTACGAGTATGAGTACGAGTACGAGTACGAGACTTTGGATATGCCGATATTATTGGGGTTTTAATGCTATCATTTGACCGTGTATAGAAAGCATTCAAAGTATGCATGTTGCAGGGTTTTTACTGCAGTTTGTGACGCAAGGCCTCGCCTGTTTTCGGTGAGCTCTGTACTTTGTACACAAATCAACTCACCAGCAGTTTGCAGGGCTGGGGTAGAGATGCAGGCCTAAAAGAAAAGCCCACATTTATGGTAAGAAGGAGAAAAAGACCTACTTTTAAACACTATTGGACTTGGATATTAACAGGTTTTTGGATATGGACAGATATGGTGACACCAACCTTTTCAAGAAGGTGACTGAAGGAAGGAAAGAAAGGAGGGAGGCTGCGTTTGCACAATCGAACAAGTCTACCACCAGTGGAAAACTTTGAAAAAATCCTATTCTGACGCAAAAAATAAAACTGCACAAGTTGTTCCACTTTTCCATATTTTGATGTGATAAACGAAATGTTTGGCCATGATAATCAGAGTATATATGGCTGTATGTAGATGGAAATATTAGTGAAATATTCATTTCCATTAGCCATGTAAACAGCTTATAAGAACTATTGTCTTTTTCAGAATAAAGGCACACTTTATTTTGTATCAATCCCACATACACCGTCCTGCTACCACTAATACTCACTACCGCACCAAATGTGGATTAATCCGCTGCTGAAAACAGTCCCCATCAACTGCAATATTTCCTCCTGTTTGAATGATAGAAAACTACAGTGAGCAGCTGTTTTGGAAATGTAAGGGACTTTTAAAACATGAAACTATATATTTGTGTTTCGAAAGATGTACATCTTCAGTAGTAGCCAGTTGGCTTTGGGCTGAGAGCCAGAGAGTATTTGGCCTCAAACTAACATAGTCAGTCTGGGTCTTTTTCTGGTGTTTAATGAAAATAACAAAGATATGGAACTACACCAGACTTTAAATATGAGTCAAAATTTTGACTTTCAGAATACTGCCGGTTTAAGATAGAAGCTGTGAAGTATCTCCATTGCGGTCTAATCTGTTAAAGGGCCACTGTGTAAAATGGGTTGAAAACCGTTGAAAACAGTGACATCAGTGGTCAAATTCTAGATTGCAGGGCTCACTCGCTCACCCCTCCTGTCGGGTAAATGACGGTGGCCTCGTAGGGACAAAAAGCCTTGCGCAGACAAGAGTTTTTCAGGAGTAGGTATATCTAGCGACGAGGTGAATGTTTATTTAGAAATCTAAACCATGTTACGATATTGTAATGATTCCCTAACGAGCAGGAGACCAGAGTAGCGTTCGGAAAAAAGGCCAGTTTATTTGAGCACTCCAAAAACTCCGGTAACACTCCAGGGGGTAAAAGACTCCGTCCCAAACGCTGACTCTTCTAGCGTAACAGACACACTTCATACACACATACTTGTTTACCATACCGAGTGGGGACCCCCTCCCTTCTCTGCTCCACCAATCTCCAGCCCGCACACTGACTGACAGCGTAGCCTGTAAACAGAGCTCAGCTGTTTATTTAGCCTAGCAATATCTCCGGAATATAGTAGCTGCAATGGACGACTTTGAACGCGATTTTGAAGAGTTTCTTGTAGCGGACACAGACCCAGAGCCATACCTGTTTGAGCCGGAGCATACAGATGAGGAACTTAGATGCTGAGCGGGCGAGAAGAGAGGCTGAATCCTCCGCTCCCATTTTGCTGCACAGAATGGGATTCGGTGCTACCATCGTTGGGGAGATATATCATCAGGAGTAAAAGCATTGGTTTATTTATACATGCGAAACGTGTTCTCTGGCTGGCTGGATTGTCCGCTCAGTCTGCCGTACATACATGGCGGTGCAAGATGGCGACCTCTCTAAAGCAAGGCCCTTGCTACATATATATATAAAAGCATAATTATAAGGCTACAAAAACCAAACAAATTTTATTTTATAGCGATTATACACTTATATAAACATATTAATGGGTAGAATATTCAGATTCAGATTCAGATTTGACAATAAACCATGCCAAATATTACACACTGGCCCTTTAACAACACACCAGAGTACCAGCTCGCTTTAATACACTGTTGTTTGGAAAATGCATTGACAGCACTTTAACAGAAATTAAACAGCAGCTGGATGGACAACAACACTACAGTCAAGACTTATAAAACCTTAAAGAGGAGTACAGACACATGCTGAGTGAACTCAACTCACCTCACACACTTTTACTTACCTGAAATACAGTAAAATAAATGATATATGTCATTGGATTGTAGATAATGTAATAAAAGAAAAGAACACAAATATGTGTGTGCATGTGTGTGTTTTAAATGTAATTACAGCTTCATTTGTTTATAGTAGCAGTTGTTTGCCTCACGTTCACCTCAGACACTTCCCGTCTATCACACCAGCAGGATAAACAGGGATGAGCCTGGCAAACACACAGCAGCTAATAAAAACCAACGGCATCTGTTTTACTGCAGTGACATGTGTGTCAGCAGAGAGAAAAAAAAAAATAAAGGGCCAGAGATTACAGGCTGATGCAGTTTCTCATCAAATAAAATCCCAACTCTGTTTGATGTGTGCACAAGACTTTCTAAAAAAGGGAAAATATAAGGGCAGGCCACATGTCACATTTTTTCACTTCCCTATGTCCCTGTGATCAGCTGGACGTTTCAAGTGGTGTGTTTAGTGGAACTCTGCTGGTCTATGTCAGTTATTTAAAGTTTCACCCTGCTTCTTGTTTCTGCTGTGCTACATTTCCCCCTAAGTCATGGTTGTATTTTTCACTGCACTTACAAATAACTATTTGCACGTTTTTATCCTTATGATTAATTCTTTACTCCTTAGCTTGGGTCCACACCCCAATCACTGCCCACTAGGACTGACACTAATGATTATTTTCCCTATCAAAATCAATCACAAAATTCTGCAGGGTGATGTCTTCAAGTCTTCAGTTTTGTTTGTCCAAAACCCCAAGTGACTTAATTTCTGATTGTACAGAGAGGAAACCAGCAGATATTTTACATTTTTTGCTTGACTAAAAGTGAACAGATTATACAATTTGTGGCAGATTGACTAAATATTTTAGCTCGGCTGAATGCAGCGAGGATTGTGCCCCCAAAACTGGGTATTTCAAACCAAAGCATCATCTTTTCATTACCATAACCAAGTGGTTTTTGTGCCTTAAGCTAACCACATGTTAACCACAACATTCTTGAAACATAAAGTTTCAATATATCCGCTATACAACATGCAAATGTTGCATTTCCGTAGTTTGCTGAAACATACAATGCCAATATTTTTCTGGCAATTGGGTTGCCCAGGCAAAACAAATATGGCAAATTTTTATGGTTTACATGAAAGGTGCAACATCTTACAGAGGGTACAGGGTACTAGTGGACAGGATGTGCATGTATACTATATATCTGTTTGTGTTTCTTTGCTCGCTTGTTTTCGGCACCCCCGAGGCATGGATACTAATGACGTCAGATTCTGGGTGAGTTGTTGATCTCTACTGATTGGTTAGGGAAAAATCAAATTCCCTTCCCCTTGTAAATCGCCTTCAATGGAGGCGATGTCAGACTGAAGGTTCTGGGAGCTTCAGTCTGACACTCAGGCTAGTTTGTGTATGCATATGTGTGTGTGTAAATCTAACCGAGTTGTTTTATTTTTTCATTTTTTCTTTGTGTTTATCTTCTAACTGACTGTAAATGCTTCAATATAACATCTGTATTATGAATATTTTTATATAAAGTCAATATTATAAAATGAATAAAACTTTAATGACCAAAAAGTACCAATGATGACAATGATGTGAAAATTAAATGGTAGTTCAATCTGATTATCAGACATTTTTACTAAAAAAAAAAAGCCACGTTCATATTAAAGATATTAAAAAGACACATCTTTTTAATTGACCTTTTACACATTAAAGGGAAGAAAGCCTCAAATTCACACACAAAGAACCAAACTGTTCAGTCCAGTTCAAACCACAGCAAAGCACACTGGAAGGTGAGCAGCTACACAGCAACACTACCGCCACCACAGACTCACCAGCCTGACACTGGCCGATGAGAGCAGTCGTCCTCAGCTCTGCCAGCCTGCTGGGGATCAGACTGTGATGGCTGGTGACACTGTTGGACCAACCTGAACAGAGCCGCCACAAACACTGAGACAGCAACACTGATGGAAGCTGCTGGATGAGAAGCTTTAAACACCAACTAGTTGGGGCTCAAAAGCCAAAATCATCCTCAAGGTGTTGTTTTTGCAGTCTGAACACATACTTTAATACCTCAAATGGCTGGGACAGACGTTACTGTTGAACACTGTTGTCAAAATCCAAGTTCACACAGTATTTTCCCCTGTTATGCAACAAACTGAATTAAATGGGGGTTTCAATAATTGAATTCTTCTTCTTTTGATGCCAAAACTATTTCAGATGTACACATTTAGTGTCTGAATTAAACAGTTTTTATAACCATTATTGAATGAAAGATGAAAACCATCAATATAACAGCTGATTCCAAACTTTTCAATATAAGTGTACCTGTGTATACAAATATTAAAGTACTGGGGGGGGGGGGGACCTCTCCTGTCTGTTCCAATCATCTTTGCTATCACTTTTCTAGCACTTAAGACCACTATACCATGAACTGAAATATATAATACAATGTTTAAATAAATATATCCACTCACTCTCTTCGTTCTCCAGGTCACTGTCGCTGTCACTGTCAGCATGAGCCAGCCCGTGTTTCTGCAGGTGTCTCTTGATGCTGAACCTGTTCCTCCTCGTCCTCCTCTGACCCTTCAGCTTAGGCTGGTCCCCCGAGTCCATCACTGTAAAAATGCCTTTCCCATTGCTCTGGGAAATAGCACCGCTGCCGTTAGCTCGGGCAGCCATGCTGGAGGAGGCAGTTTCAGCCTGAAAAGAAGTTAAATGAGTAATTAAAAAAAACAAGTATTTTGAGCATTTCAAAAATACAAAATTACTTCACTCTAAAGTATTTTGTTCCAAAATACATTTACTTTTTTTAGCCCTGCCAAATATCAATTTGAAAATATTCAAAAAATATTAAAATACATATTTCTCTTGTTTATTTTAATAATACTTTGTGGTTTATAAAGCAACAGATACAAAAAAATACAGAAAAATATATTTGCATTACTTACAATAATAACTGCTTGTGTATTGCAGGGTTAGCTCAGTTTACATTGTAGTATTATTTATTTTTTTCCCCCTACTTTCATTTTTTTTGTTCAAAGAAAAAAAAACAAATAATACACCCATATGCAGCTATGATCACATATGTCCATGTGTCCACATAAGCATTCATATCTGCCCATCCAAAACTCTGTAAGTAAAATTAATTATATACACTGGAACCAAGGGAGTTTACATTTCTGCCGGTCTAACTGAGAAGAGGAGAGAAAGGTGACACAGTAGAGGGTCATACAGAGTCTGCTTGTAGTAGGGTTATAAATTCAATCCATTCATTCCAGATTTGATAGAATTTGCTCTTTTGCATCCTCAAGGAGCAGATCAGCTTGCCCATTAGGGCAGGAGCGAAAAACCCATTTCATAGTTGGGGGGGACAATAAACAGTAACATTTTAGAGAATAATTCCAGGGGGGGGACAAGGAAAAAAAGTTGTAGCCTGTCTTTTATACAGCATCTTTTACCGCAATTTGACGCTTTAATCTTCTCTCCATCTCTCCAACAGGCAGAGTGAATGTCTATACTTATGAGAAATGGCTTAACAACTAAACATTTCCTGCAATTAAACTGGTAAACTGGTTTATAAACAGTGTGCTGTGAGATCTGCCGCTATGTACCTCACAACCGTGCGTAATAGTCGCGTGTAATGACTGCTCCTCGTCTGCACGTCTTTGATGTTTGTCTCACTAACAGGAGGAGAGCCTACAGACAGGTACCCATTAGCTACGCTTCGTCACAACCTTGCGTAATAGTCGCGCATAATGACTGCTCCTCGTCTGGACGTCTTTCATGGTTGTCTCACTGACAGGTGGGGAGAGCCTACAGACAGGTACCCATACGAGCCGCTCCGCCACAACCGTGCGTAATAGTCGCGCGTAATGACCGCTCCTTGTCAGTTAGACTGCACGTCTTTCATGTTTGTCTCACTGACAGGTGGAGAGCCTACAGACAGGTACCCATTAGCTACGAGCCGCTCCGCCACTAACTGCTCTTGTCCTGTCCTCTCCCTCTTCTTTCTCTCCTGTCCTCTCTATCACTAAACTCTGAGCTTAATCATTAGCTTTTAGCTTAGCAGCACTCGTAATTTAGTAGGCTTTTGAACAATGCAGGAGAAAGTGAACATCTTACCCTGCGATGCGCGATGTGGACAGCGGTTCCAGCCACACGCTGCTACTGCTGCCAAGCAGCCCCGCCCGTTGGAAAGAGTGTGGGATATACCACTACTAGGAATGGGAGGGGGGGACTAAATCTTTTAAGATTTAAATAGCATATTATTGTGCGATTATAATGAGCACCGCTTACATTGTGCTTTTAATAAATACTACTGCATTGTTCAAAAATTATTAATTGTGTCTCAAATGATTCTAGGGGGTACAGCTTTACTGAAGGGGGAGTCATGTCCCCCCTGCCCCCCCCCGGGATTTCCGCCCCTGCATTAGGGTTAACTCCAAACCCCAAATTATTCCATACCAATCTTCCAAATTACATATTTGAAATACAAGTAACAGAAATACTCTCCATCTCCCGATTACTGTTTTGCAAGAAGGCTCCACACTCAAAGTTGAACTACTGTCACTGTGTACCTGAGAATTTCAGGTTGACTTTGAAGAAAATGTGTAGCTCAAAAAAGTAAAAATCACCCCAACCTAGATTTTTTTTACAGTTAGTTTAATGTTCTGTTTCAGATTAATTTATTCATTACTTCAAGTTTGATGTTAAGTTCCAGATATATTTATTAATTTAGGTATTTATTACTTTGAGTTTGATACTCAGTGATCCAGATTTTGTTTTTATTTATCAGGTATTTATTACTTTGAGTTAGATGTTTAGTTCAACAGTGATCCAGTTTCTAATAAAGTCAAAGGTTGTTCATTTCCGACAGTCAAATGTTTCCACAAGGGGTTGGGGATGGGGGATGGTATCAACCAATTAATCAGCTATCATCTTTTTCCTGTTACAAACTATCGGTGTTATATCAACCTTTAAAACCCTCTATTCAATCTGTACTAATTGTTTTTCTATAACTCATGATTTACACAGTTGAATTTCTCTTAAAAAAAACTGTTATATTCTTTCTTTTGTAAAATATTTTGGTTTATTTTATTTTATACTTTAGTATTTTTTTAATCCTAATCTATTTTTTCTTTTTTATTTGTCTTTGTAAATCTCAGATTAGATGATTTACGTAAAAGAAAAAATAAAATAAAATAAAGTATATATATACACACACATCTACAGTACAGGCCAAAAGTTTGGACACACCTTCTCATTCAATGCGTTTTCTTTATTTTCATGACTATTTACATTGTAGATTCTCACTGAAGGCATCAAAACTATGAATGAACACATGTGGAGTTATGTACTTAACAAAAAAAGGTGAAATAACTGAAAACATGTTTTATATTCTAGTTTCTTCAAAATAGCCACCCTTTGCTCTGATTACTGCTTTGCACACTCTTGGCATTCTCTCCATGAGCTTCAAGAGGTAGTCACCTGAAATGGTTTCCACTTCACAGGTGTGCCTTATCAGGGTTAATTAGTGGAATTTCTTGCTTTATCAATGGGGTTGGGACCATCAGTTGTGTTGTGCAGAAGTCAGGTTAATACACAGCCGACAGCCCTATTGGACAACTGTTAAAATTCATATTATGGCAAGAACCAATCAGCTAACTAAAGAAGAACGAGTGGCCATCATTACTTTAAGAAATGAAGGTCAGTCAGTCCGGAAAATTGCAAAAACTTTAAATGTGTCCCCAAGTGGAGTCGCAAAAACCATCAAGCGCTACAACGAAACTGGCACACATGAGGACCGACCCAGGAAAGGAAGACCAAGAGTCACCTCTGCTTCTGAGGATAAGTTCATCCGAGTCACCAGCCTCAGAAATGGCAAGTTAACAGCAGCTCAGATCAGAGACCAGATGAATGCCACACAGAATTCTAGCAGCAGACCCATCTCTAGAACAACTGTTAAGAGGAGACTGCGCCAATCAGGCCTTCATGGTCAAATAGCTGCTAGGAAACCACTGCTAAGGAGAGGCAACAAGCAGAAGAGATTTGTTTGGGCCAAGAAACACAAGGAATGGACATTAGACCAGTGGAAATCTGTGCTTTGGTCTGATGAGTCCAAATTTGAGATCTTTGGTTCCAACCGCCGTGTCTTTGTGAGACGCAGAAAAGGTGAATGGATGGATTCCACGTGCCTGGTTCCCACTGTGAAGCATGGAGGAGGAGGTGTGATGGTGTGGGGGTGTTTTGCTGGTGACACTGTTGGGGATTTATTCAAAATTGAAGGCACACTGAACCAGCATGGCTACCACAGCATCCTGCAGCGACATGCCATCCCATCCGGTTTGCGTTTAGTTGGACGATCATTTATTTTTCAACAGGACAATGACCCCAAACACACCTCCAGGCTGTGTAAGGGCTATTTGACCAAGAAGGAGAGTGATGGAGTGCTGCGGCAGATGACCTGGCCTCCACAGTCACCGGACCTGAACCCAATCCAGATGGTTTGGGGTGAGCTGGACCGCAGAGTGAAGGCAAAGGGGCCAACAAGTGCTAAACACCTCTGGGAACTCCTTCAAGACTGTTGGAAAACCATTTCAGGTGACTACCTCTTGAAGCTCATCGAGAGAATGCCAAGAGTGTGCAAAGCAGTAATCAGAGCAAAGGGTGGCTATTTTGAAGAAACTAGAATATAAAACATGTTTTCAGTTTTTTCACCTTTTTTTGTTAAGTACATAACTCCACATGTGTTCATTCATAGTTTTGATGCCTTCAGTGAGAATCTACAATGTAAATAGTCATGAAAATAAAGAAAACGCATTGAATGAGAAGGTGTGTCCAAACTTTTGGCCTGTACTGTATATATGATCAATAATCATAAATCTTTTTACTTAATTTTATTTGTCTGGGCAGCAATGTGATGTTTAATTAGACATTTCTAACTGCTATATACTCAAAATGTGAGGAATTTGACTGATTTGATTCTTAAGACCGTACAAATATTTAAACATTAAAATAGTCTTGATTGAAGTTGAATTAAACAGGGAAGTGTGTGTGTGTGTGTGTGTGTGTGTGTGTGTGTGTGGATAAGAGAGAGAGAGACAAAGAAGCAGAGGGCAGGTAGATGGTGCAGGTATCTTGTCCTCACTACATGTTGGACAATGATCAAGTGACACTAACAACGTCAGTCAGGTCAGCTGTTTGTGTGCGTGTGTGTGTGTGTGTGTGTGTGTGTCTGTGTAAGAGAGAGACCTGCTCCAAGTGTGAGCGTGTTACACTCCCAACGTCCGTCAGCCGGTGTTCCCTGTCGTCCCAACGACCGTACGCCAGGTCAATTCCACCAACAAAGGCCACTGATTGGTCAATAATGATAATCTTCTCGTGATGTGCCCAAAGGTAGACAGACGAGGAGACGTGGTCTGGGTGGCGCATCACCTTTGTAGGAAAAAGTGCAGACGTTCAGACAGGAAACATACATAGACAGTATAATAAACATGTTGTAATGCACGCTCACCTTGATGTTGGGGTGGAGGTGCAGCAGCGTCCTCTTGCTGTATCCTGAGTTGATGCCCAGAGCTAACTCCACCTCCTTGTACAGCATCACAAAGATTTTTACTCCTTGTTGCTGTGGAAACAACAACACATACATGATGTTAAACATCAGTACAAATAGTTACAGCGTCAAAAAAATAATTGTATTTCAAAATGTCAGTGTGTATAATGTTCACTTAGAAGCTTTGGGATCTCCAACACATTTTTAATAAAGTTTTGTAGGTTTAAACAATATTACCACCTGCAGGCCGTTGTTTCTTAAAGTAACAACAGCTACTGTGGGTTGTATGTGTAAATTATCTGTGGTAAACTTCCCATCATCTGGAACACGCCAAGATACATTGATGTATCA